TTTAAGTTTAATAAGCTTGATTGTCTTTGCTGTTACTGCTGTTACCATGGTATGTCCCTTTAAGTTTAATAAGCTTAATTGGAAATGCAGTATGCTTTGTGCACAATGTAAAGAAAGCTATAGTACTGCATTTGCAGTATGGCATAGTAATTTGTAGTTTCTTTGTGTTCTGATGCAAATAATGTGACACAGATGATGTGTTAATGTTGTCAATGCTCTCGGTTGTCAAAACAGATTTTTGTTCCAATGCTCTTGAAAAGAGAGACGTTGGATGACATACCTTCAAATTGCGTGATACTAAACAGCTCTGAAGAGTCATCAAAACCTTGTTTGTTACTGGATCACTGGACAAGAGATAAACTTCTGAATTATGAACTGTAAGAAAAGGAAAAGTATGAAATTGAAGCTAACTGCAATTGTCCATTTCTCATTTAAAAACAGTGACACTAGGCATAATAATATACTCATCAATGTAGATGCTGTGCTGAAAAAAGCAATATATTTTCACGAAAAAACCCCCAGGATATTCACAAAAATGAAACAGGGAGGGGGAGCACTGGACAGCATCTGACCTCCCCAGGGTGGGGTGTGTGTACAATTTTCTGGGCAGCCTCTTTTGTCAGAAAATGAACTGAAGGTAGGTGTCACGCTCCTTAACTAGCAGCACTAGTTAAGGAGTCAAGATTGGCTGACCTCTGCCTCTGGGCAGATCCCTTTATAAAGAGAATTGCAACACTTCAAGGTTAATTCCACAGTCTGCCATGAAAGTGTACCCTGTGTGGTCACACTGTATGTGCATTTATGCAGGAAAAAATTACCTGTCCACTGATGATATATCTTTGAAAGTTTCCAACTGATTACTGCAACACTTTTACACAAGCTCACATTGCAACTCTACATACAGCATTGCTGCCGAGTACAAAATGTACATGTAAGTACAGTTTTGCTTTCTGACTTTTCATGAACGGCTGTTGAAACTGCCCTCATTTTAAAATGGCTCTTTTTCTTGGAGGAACACTTGCCTACCTTGCTGGCACTGGCAGCATCCATCCAATATACCAATTTAACCTTCAACTCCTATTTTTGTCAGGGAAATGGCGATACCCTTCTCTCTCTAGCCAGCCAATGGTGCATTCCCTGCGTATGAAGGCTTGAGGGATTCTCGTTTACCTTAATTCTGCAAAATCATTTGAACTCTGTATGGATATTGAAGGATCTGAAAGTATTGGGCTCATCCCTATAGGGCTAGGTTAAAAATGTCATCATTAC